GAAACGTACTACTGTACAGTATAGATCATTCCCATCTCATGGTGGGAACAAGCCAAAAACACTCTCTTGCCTCTAATAGATCTCTCTTCAACCGCACTGCTGTGTTGGTGTTATGTTGTCGTCGCCGTCATGTTGCTGGTGTTGGTGCTGCTGGCGTTGTCGTCGTTAATGGTGTTGGTGTTGGTAGTGTAGTGGCTACGGGTCTCTGGCAAATACTCATGGTCGGGACAAGCCACACACTCTGTCCAAAATCGGATGATATCTTAAATTCTGTAGCACTCAATATCTCTTCAAACCGCACTGCTGTTTTGGTGTTATGTGGTAGTGGCCATCATTGTTGTTGTTGCCATGGTCGCCGTTATTTGGTTGTTGATCGTCCCATTGGCATGAGAATCGTCGTATTCAAAGTTCAATGGTGGTGTTGGTTACCGTATGACACATAGAACAACGCACACCCTGGACCGATTTTCAAAACTCGATATACGAAAGATCAACAGCAGAAAAGAGTTGTAGCGCCGAAAACGGCGGCGTTGAAACCGTCTGGTCGAGAGCTATCCGAACGCATTGTTTCGTTTATGCATCCTCTTCGTCGTGGAGCAATCGAGCTTTGAAAATCGGTCCAGGGGGTGTGTTATCCTGTGTCATGTACGGTATTTATCGTCGTCGTCGTCGTCGCCGTCGCCGTCGTTTCAGACGTCCCGGATTTACGAGCACTGGCGTTTTTTCTCCAAACAAAGAGTCCCTCTTGTTGTTCTTGTCTTCACATTAAGAACCGTTCCGATCTCTCCACCTAGTACCTTCATCTGTCCATACTATTTAGTCTAACAAATTGTTCTGATCTCTCTAGCCAGAATCTTCATCTGTCCGTACTAATTAGTATTACAAACTGTTCTGATCTCTCTACCTAGTACGTTCATCTGTCCGTACTATTTAGTCTTACAAACTGTTCTGATCTCTCTACCTAGTACGTTCATCTGTCCGTACTATTTAGTCTTACAAACTGTTCTGATCTCTCTACCTAGAACCTTCATCTGTCCGTATTATTTAGTCTAACAAACTGTTCTGATTCCTCTAGCCAGAATCTGTCCGTACTGTTTAGTCTAACAAATTTTTCTGATCTCTCTAGCCAGAATCTTCATCTGTCCGTACTATTTAGTGTAACAAACTGTTCTGATTTCTCTAGCCAGAACCTTCATCTGTCCGTACTATTTAGTCTAACAAATTGTTCTGATTTCTCTAGCAAGAACCTTCATCTGTCCGTACTATTTAGTCTAACAACTGTTCTGATTTCTCTAGCCAGAATCTTCATGTGTCCGTGCTATTAAGTGTAACAAATTGTTCTGATCTCTCTAGCCAGAACCTTCATCTGTCCGTACTATTTTGTCTAACGAACGACGCGGTCGATTCCCGTGGTCACAGGCTACAGTACCTTACCATAAAGAAAGGTACACTAGAATGTAAAGTGTCCCCTTTTGCCCGGTGAAAGCCCGGTGTGTTGCGTCCCGGCTTTGTAGGGATGCGAGGTCAATTGTCCAACGATCACGCCATGGGTGTACGTGAGGATGAGTACCAACGTAGCCTGGGCCAGCGAAAACACCGCACCCAAATGGCTCCATCCCGGCATTGAAGGGATACGAGGTCAACAGTCTAACGGCATCCACGGGTATGATAATTCCCTCCCCCTATTTGTATGATTCTGCGGGGCACCATGCTTGTTAAAAATAAAGAAGTACGTCACCGAGCAAACCCTTGCTTACCGTTAGCCCGCACTAAATACGACACGGCACCCCCTGGAGAGATTTCCAAGGCCTGATTACTCCGCAGCACAAGCAGTATTAGTGACGGCGTCGAACAACGGTGGTGCGAGAGACGTCTCGAAGAGAGCTTTCCGAAAACGGGTACTTGTATGCACACCATCGTTTCATGTTTTGGCATCCTCTTCGTCGTGGAATACCGTAAAGGGCGGAGAGATGGCGCACGCCCTCCAGACCTACTTTCAAAGCTCGAGTACTCCACAACACAAGCTTTGCTTGCGCCGACACCGGCAAGGTGGTTTTGGAAACAGCTTGTTGACGGCTTTCCGTAGACGTCCCGGGCTCTTTCCGCACCCCTCCTCAGCTAGAGCAGGCGAACTGTGAAAGTTGGTCTGGGGGGGGGCGGGGGGGGGGGGGGGGGGGGGCACCCCCCCCCCCCCCCCTTAGGGGGTTCCACCCTTTAAAACCGGGTTCGGGGGGGGGGGGGATTTTGTGGCACCCCACCCCAAACGGGGGGTT